TCCTCAACAGGCTTCAAGGTCAAAGACACAGGAAGGTTGAGCGTTCCTGTGGACTCGTCTTAGTTCCTGGAACTGCTGACGTGTCAACAATCAGCTGGTTTTCAAAACAACCAGACTCTAGTTTCTGTTAAAATCTCTTCACAGCCACCAGATGTCACTGATGGCTCCTTTAAAATACGAGCGGCAGCCGCAACCAGATGAGTCTCTGAAGGTCACTCATTACTGCAACAGTGACATCAAACACGCTCAACTTTATTTAGAAAACACTTAAAAACGTCACAAGTGGCCAAAGTGTTGAACACTGAGAACACATAAAAGCTTAAAAACTATAAAATCAATTATAAACTAGAGGAACTCCTGCAAAAATGCAGTGCGACTGTTCAGTGCAGAAAACAGCTGAAATTAGCTTAAAAAAAGCTGAAATTAGCAAAACAGCTGAAAAGTCAGAAAGGAGTTTATAGTAGCAGAAAAAAGCTGAAAGGAGCAGAAAGAATTTAGATAAGCTGAAATTACTGCAAAAAAATGGAATTTATCTGAAAACAGCTGAAATTAGACAAAAATGCTAAAACGGGAGCTGAAAATATAGAACAAGCTCAAAGTAGCAGAAGAAAGCAGAAATAAAACGTTTGCCCAGTTAGGCTGAAAGAAGCAGAAATTAGCACTAAAGTGAAAATTATCAGAAAAATGAGGAAATAAAAAAAAAAAAAAAAAAAGCTGAAAGTAGCTTAAAATAGCTGAAAGTAGCTAAAAAAGGCAGAAATATGCTTAGATAACCAGAAGGAAGTGGAGAGAGCACATTTTTGCTGAATTAGGTTGAAAAAAGTTGAAATGAGTGTCAAAATGTGCAATTATGCGACAATGATAAAATTAGAATAAAAACAGCTAAACAGTAGCTGAAATAGCAGCAAAAGCTGAAATGCAGAAATAAGCTGAAAGGAGCATAAGCTGAAATCAGCAGAAAGAAGTTAGAAGAACCACAAAAATGTTGTAGTTAGTAGAAATAATCGAAAAGGATCACAAAGCAGCTGAAATTAGCTGAAAGTAGCTGGAAAAAAAAAAGTAAAAATTTGCAGAAAGAAGCTGAAGCAGAACAGAATGTGAAAGGAGCAGTAAAAGGTTGTAAACACATCTGAAGATGTGAAGGATGTAAAATGAGCTCAGTTCATTTTCTAGGAGAAAAACGCGGCAGAAAAGGCTAAATATTTCAAAAAGCTAAAGTTGCACCAATACCAAAAGTCCTAGCAGGATTGTCCTGAAAGAGCTGAACGTTTTG